TATTCACTTTCGTCAGCCTTTCGAAGCAGATATCGTAAAGATTAACTATGCGATTAGTACACATAGCATATCTCGGCTAGAAGACCGCTTTTATCGAAGGGTTACGCGGATGTCTTGAATTTTGTGCCCGATGGCGTCATAGTTACGAAACTCTGTGACGCAGTACGAAAGGGAACGAGCGAGCAGTAGACCTCCGGGAGTCAGTGTGAGCCTACTTCATGTCGATGAAAAGTTGAGTGAACGTCGAAATCACAACAGGCTTATGGGCGCGTTATAGATCGGCACCGCGGCATCGTGGCTCTGCGAAGTTCGCAGAGCAGCAAGTTAACGTATTTCTCGATTTGGAAAATTCCGCACGCAGCCTCCGCGGCATCCGTGGCCTCTGCGGAATTTTCAGAGCAAGCAAAGTATACGTATCGATTTGGAAATTCCGCAGAGGCCGCGGAGGCCGCGGCCGCCGCGGCCTCTGCGGCCAAGCGCGAAGCGTACGCGTCGCGGTTGTTAAACAAGCAGTTGTGTCATTGAGAGTATTTTACCGAGGAGACAACAAAAATAATTTCCTGGAAAAAAGGTAAGTTTTGGATGAATAGAACTGAAGCTCCACAAGTAGATTGCTAACGTGATAAGGTAACTTTCGACAATAGCAGATCTGTCCAGTCCAGTTTATCACCTCTGGCGCGAAAATATTTCTTTTTTTGCGACCTTGTTCCCACGTTCCACGTGTATCTGGGTAGTATTCCACGAAAATTAAGGGCTTATCTTGAAGATAAAAAGGAACAGCAAAGCCTTACTAACTTCTGCATTGAAAACTAGTCCTTCTTCAAGTGTTTTGGTGCAAAAACGCCCTAGCATTTATGCGCACTCTTCGAAAATAGGCAAAAACTGCTTCTTCCCACGCGGCAGGCACGCATGGCGCCTTGTCGCCAATGTGTTAAAAAGGGACACCCGCCAAGGGCGAAATTTTGCTGCAGTTGAGTTCCCATTTGTTGGAGACCAGTTGAACCAGATCAGCTGAAACCCATTTTTCAAGGTATTGATTGCGTTCGAGCGTCCCCATCAAGAGGCCGCGACGCATACGCTTCGCGCCTGGCCGCGGAGGCCGCGGAGGCCACGGATGCCGCGGATGCCGTCTGTATGAACGCGGCCTTAGAGTGCCATGCGGACGAGAGAGTGCAGAGAAAAAGAAGATCGACGCGTTCGAAGGGAGTGAGTTCAAATTTTAGACCTTGCTGAAGTATCCTAATTCAAATGAAGTTAAAGGGACGCGTGGTCCCACAACGAAGTGGACGACTTGCGCCCGTAAAACTCGTCCGGCATTTTTTCCGGGTGTAGTTTTTGGCGAAGTGGACCGCGTTCGCTCGAAATTTACAGAATTACTCCTGTCATCTGCTCAGCTTATGAATGATTGAATTACTTGAGGCTCCTGCCCTTCATTGTAGAACAAAACTCTTACCGCTGCTGGGACCTATTTCTAGTTCAGGATACATTCACCTGTGCTATGCTGTATCACCTGTGCTCCCGTTGATCATCGAGTTCCTCGAGCGGGCGCCAGTAACGTCTCCATTCGTCCCTGCAACGTGCAAGAGTTGCCCAATGAACTCTCTCAGCTCGAGGGACACGATGAACTTCATACCATTCGTTCAGAGCTTTCACGAAGAAGTCTGACCATCGCATAGGCGGTCGTCCAGGCGTTCGCTTGACATCCCGTGGAATCCAGTCGGTGATCGCTCTGGTCCAGCGGTCGTCCTCGAAACGCATGACGTGCCCGGCCCACCTGATCTTCGAAACCTTGGCAAATGCGGCGTCTCTGATCTTCGATCGTGGCGGAGTGCGGAGCTCCGGATTCCCTCTCTCACTTGCGTGTAGCGGGAAACTCCGAGCATCGCCCTTTCGATGGCGCGTTGAATAACGCCGACCGCATGCTCATCCTGCTTTCGTAGAGTCCAAGTCTCTGAGGCGTACGTCAAGGCAGGAAGGACCGCGGAATCGAAGAGGTGGGCACGGAGCTTGGTGTTCTTCGTCTTCTTCGCTACTCCCTCGATGTTCTTGAAGGCCCAAGCCGCTCGCTTCCTCCTGCTCAGCTCTGGAGCTAAGTCATTCATCATATTGATTTCACGACCTAGGTACACATAGCTAGAGCATTCAGAGATGGTCGTTGAGCGTGAATGGGGCATCAGATACCAATCCGTTTCTCATGAACATCGTCTTCGTTAGATTCAGCCGTAGACCGATTCTTCCACACGCGCAGTCGAATTCAGCCAGCATTCGTTCCGCTTGCTCGATGTTTGGTGTTATCAAAACGATGTCGTCAGCAAAGCGGAGATGGTGTAGTTGCCGACCGTCGATCTTCACTCCCATGTCTTCCCATTCCAGTTGACGCATGACGTTCTCGAGAGAGGCGCTGAAGAGCTTGGGCGAGATGGTGTCGCCCTGTCGGACCCCTCTCTTCACATCGATGATGATCTCCTTGTAGAATGGTGAGATCTTGGTCGTGAAGTTGCTGTAGAGCTCACGAAGAATCCTGATGTAGGAATACCCTGGTTGCCCAGGGCTTCGATAACCGCTTCTGTCTCAACGGAGTCGAAGGCTTTCTTCAAGTCGATGAACGTGAGACATAGCGGCATCTTGTACTCTCGCGATACTTCAATGAGCTTCGTTACCGTGTGGATGTGATCGATCGTGCTGAATCCTCTTCGAAACCCTGCTTGCTCGCATGGCTGTCCTTCGTCTAGTGTTCTGCCAATCCTGTTCAGGATGACTCGTGTGAAGAGTTTGTAGACTACAGACAGCAGGCAGATTGGGCGATAATTGCCAATGTCGTACAGGTCTCCCTTCTTGTACAGCAACACAGTCTTGCTGGTTTTCCACGAGGTGGGTACCTTGCATTCCGACAGGTAGCGCGTGAAGAGTCGAGCCAGAGTTTTGACAAGAACTGGCGGAAGATTCTTCAGATGTTCGGGTCTGATCCTGTCGGGACCGGGTGCCGTACGATTCTTTACCGACGAGATGGCGTGTCGGACTTCGGAAGGGAGAACTGCAGGAACGACATATCCATCCTGCTCCAAGCGGTATGGTTGCAGGTGGACGTGGCTGTCAAAGAGATCCGAGTAGAAGTCGTGGATGACCTTCTCCATTGCCCTTCTGGATGCGGTGATTGTTCCATCCGGACGTCGGAGGGCGGTCATCTTGGTCTTACAGTTGGCGAAGTCGCGGCGGGCGTTGCGTATGCTCTTCCCAGCCTCTGCGGCTTCCACCAGTACTGCTGCTCTTCTCTCCTTGAGGTCTTCCTTTATCGCTTCTCTGCATAGCTTCGCAAGCTCAGACGTCAGCTGGTAATTGCCTGCGGCTCGTGCGGCTCCACGTTGGCGAATCAGCTCGAGAGTTTCTTCTTGGTAATCTTGGAACTCTCTGACTTCTTGGCGCAGTCGTGAAGATGTGCGACAAGCCGTTCGTATTCCTCGTCGATGTTGTCGATGACGGAATCCTCCCAGAGCCCAGCGAGAGAAGTGAAGTGATCCCAGTGATGTCTTAGGGCTTCGCTTCTTGAACTTTGCGGCTCTCTCTCCTCGCATCGAAAAGCGGAATCTCGCGCGAAGGAATCTCGCGTTGAAAGCACAGATCGTCATCCTAGTCCTGGGCGACTTAAATCTCCGTTGGCCCTGTGATTCTTGCAGCCTCGCCCGAGCGGTCCCAGCCGACGTCGCCCTGTCGGTGGTTCCCTCAGGTTCAGGGGAATGAGGCCCATAATTATTACTGTTTTCGGCGAGGGGAAAATTTAACGCATTGGTTCGGTGTTGCAGTCCAAACCGTTCACCCCCACCACGTTGAGGCTGCGGATAGGATTTGTGGGGGGGGGCGGTACATTATAGGGCAATTAACGTATGAGGGGACAGAAGCCGGGCAGAAATTCCATTACAAGTTCGGCAGCCACTCCTTATTGTGCAAGACCATAGCTCGCGAGCTGGAACTTATAGTACCATCAGTCCTGCCGTCCGCTCCATTTGTCTTCGTAACCTGATAGGATGTTCAAAAGAACACAGCCGAGCTTTATCTGAAAAGTATCCCAGGGTGTGGGGCGTTTTCCGCTAAGGGCTGATCTGGACGCCGACATGGAGTAGTGACTGAAGCGAGCCGCTCAGACAAATGCTCTGAAAAGAACGCCTCTACTTATCTCCCAAAGGAGATCAACTTAACACTGAGGACTCCAAGGAGCCTCACACAAACACAACTTTGATACATGGACTTGCATGTACATACTAATCTATTGAATAACACTCATCGGATACGAATCAGGATATCCCTTGATAGCAGAGACCCGAACCTCTATGTTGCATGGGCTCGAAATAAGGAGCTTAGGTGCCTGCCTTCTTGATTGCGGTCTCTGAGGTGCGCCTGAGTTGCAGCCGCGTTACGTATTGCACCCAAACTTACGCCTAAACATTATTGTGAGCCGTTTGCTCCTTACTGAATAATCGTTATTGTGAAAAATTGTCCCCGATGAATGATTTCATGGACACGAATGGCACATCTGCGTGGGATGTCGAGAATGTTGAGGATGGTGTGAAGGGGGGGGGGTTACACGTGATAGCACGGCCTGCTTTGGCTCATCTGCACCTTTCCCCGAAACAGTGTTCTCTTCCTTTGCTGAAACTGAGCCCTAACAAAGGGAAGGATCACCACCACAGGCAACCAGAAGAAGTACTCTCTTGTCTCAGTGTATTTCCCATCCTTGTCACGCCGTGTTTCCTTAACTGCCTTAGCACACAGCTCGTGTTCGTGTTTAGGAGGTCAAAATACCGTGCAGCTGGATTTCCCTACAAATCCTGGTTGACCTGTACTTCGAAAATTGGAGCGCCAAAGGGTAAATAGTGCTCCAGATTTCCATAAGAGCCGATGTAAGCAATTATTCCTGCGTTAGATACATATAGGAGATGTGAGTTGCGCCTCCAACTTCATTTTTGTAACAGGAACATCATTTGTAGATTTCCAGTAGTAAAGGAATGTTATTCGGTGCTCTCGTCTTCATTACCAATGAAAAAAAAGTGATTGATTGCCGAAACCAGCAAGTGTTAATTTCTGGTGAGTTTGTTAGCAGCTGTCATAAAATAACACTACTACTTAGCGCACCTGAAATGTTTTGACAAGAAAATCTCCTCGTAGGAAACGCAATTTCAGAATCATTAACAAGCTATCGCTTGATATCTGATGCCCAATTCATCGTTGTTATTGAGAAGGACGCCATGTTTCAAAAATTAATCGACGAAGGTTACTTTGCCACCTTCCCGAAAAGTTTACTTGTGACGGTTTGTACTTGTTATCTCACAGCTAGTCTTCAAACTCACCGCCGAGTTTCCACATATTCCACATTCGCAGGGGTCATTTTTCGGATGCTCTCAAGGTTTTTCTATGTGAAGGACGGTAGGCAAACTGCGATAAACTCCCAAAGCAACAGTCTTTCTTGTTTCACGGCAAGTTTTTGATGGGTTGTGCTGCTAGGTCCTTTACTGGCGTTGCAGGCGTGCTTTTATTGTGACAGCCAGCCTTTGTGCTGCCAACCATGCGCAGTAACAAAGAAAGTAATTCCTCATTTCACTTTAAGTTGGGGTTAGCTAATGGCTATCCTGTGTCCAGTGCATCAGTTTAACTTTTTCTAGGAGGGAATATGAGTATGAGTTTATTATGTCTGCATAAGGCATACGTGAGATAAAATCAATAATCAGTTTGTAAATAAGTTCCAGTCGGAACAACTGTGAATGAGACCGAAATCAATTTCCAGTAACAGTAATTAACTTTTCCAGTAACAGTAATTAACCATGGATAACCTATTGAGCAGTCTGAAGAGAGCCAAACCCACCAACCTTGATATCCTACCGGAAATACGATGTTTGAACTGACCATGCGACAAAGTGGCAGATATGCTTCTTGCTAACTTTAAATACGTGCTGCCAGCCGCGAAGGTGAAGCTGCTTGCACGTAGATTAGACTTGGGTTCACAGGATCGCGCAGACTCCAAACCATCTAACGCCACTTGTTACAAATCTAGAGAGGTTTTCAATCTCATAGGTGGGTTCTCTTTTTCGATCTTTGGTTCAGTCGATTAGTGAAGCTTCTTTTACCAAGGAAACCTTTCAGTTTTTCTCGAAGTTCGCTCATTCGCTTGGCTGTCAGCAAATGGTGGCTTGATTTCCGTGAGAAAACAGTTGTATCGTTTCATTCAGGGTAAAGGATATCCTGATATATGCACACGTAAAGTATTGCGTTGGTTGGTTGAAAAATTGAATGTTCCAATTTACGGCTTATTTGACAGCGATCCTCACGGTATCCTTATGCTTGATACCTTTTTCCAAGGAATAGCTTATTCATCTCTTTGAATTTAGGTATCGAGATAATGTTAACGTTTAAATATGGATCCTTGTCAGATTGCAGAGAAGGACAAGGCTGCCATGTGAAACAAATTCAGTGGCTTGGGTATGCTAAGATGTCTCGTTCTGACTAGTTGCCTAGCACCTAACAATCTTCAGGCATTCGGTGCGCGATAAGGAGAAAATATAGTGACTAGTGGTATAAAATGTCATTGAGCTGAAGCGTTAAGAGCGGCCTCGGTAGCGTAATGGATAACACAACCACCCCATAAGCGGGAGATGCGAGCTCGGGTCCCGTCTCGTGTCCGACTTTTGCCCTAACACGTTGACGACGAGCCATTTTTCCCATGACTTGCGCGTGGGACGGCACATTTTTCTACATTGAAACTTAGTAATTTCCAAATAAATGAATTACTACGATCAAAATGTATCGAGAAATGCAAGAGACGAGTATAGCAATCTCGAATCTTTGACACAATTTAGCTCTTATTGCTCCAATCTTCCAAAATCAGGCCATTTTTTTACCAAATTCTTCCTCTGGAGACAGAACTGACTAAAATTTGTCTCCCGGGGTGGTTTGATCTCATAAAGAACAATATGACCGAAAATGTTTGTTCTTAAACTAATTTTATGAAAAGTAAGTGAAACAATCGCGCAGATTTTGAGTTATATAATAACTGTGGGAAAGCGACGCCGTTCCACAAGACAAACTTTCTGTCGTCCACCATTGACGGAAATTTCTTCGGAAGACGGAAAGGGACAAGTTTCCAGGAAATTCGATGATCTAGGGCATTTTGGCACGGGCGCCAGGCAGTTTTATGGCGAGCGGTTGTGATATTCGTGTAAATGGGTCACTGTGGCGCGGGCGCCGGGCAATCCGGGCCAAACCACTGTGCTGTTCGTTTCAGAATTTCAGCCTACTCCTATAGACATCTTTTGAACAAACTTGGTTGCTCGCACGTCTTTATTATTAGAGCAGTATGCTGTCGGACAGCATTGTCCGACACCGTCCCATGAGACAGACTGGCTGTCGCCCACCATTGTCCGACACCGTCGTTAACGTGCTAATGCGATAACTGATAACTTCCAAAGCGCGAACTGCGGCGTTGAATAACAGCTATCCTACTGGAAGGACAACGTGAAAATAGTGCATTTTTTGGATTACAAACCAGTGTCTTGAGAAGTAGCGCACTGTTGCTCTTATCTCACCAAGGAATCTTGTTAAGTTTTGTTTAGATTCAAGCCGTCAGATATATCACGTTTACCCATTATGCAGCACCAATTCCTGAACCTCTCGAATCGCGATTTCATGAAAATATCGAAAATTCGTCGCAGAGCTCAAGGACTGGGAGAAAACGACATCGTCACCGAGGTTTTTTTATTTTAATATGTTTATTTGAAAGACCAACTGTTCTGCTCTGTAGTCTCCACACACTGGAAGGCTCCACATCCCCTTCTTCATTAGGTGGAATTCCCTCCATAGTGGTGGTCAAACGTGCAGATTAAGAAACACAGGGACACTTATGTTTCTTCAGTGTCTACAGTGTCTACCCATAACATATAGATACCCGACTTCACTGATTGTAGAACTGTGTGCTCTCCTCCAGCGCTGCTTATTGGTGAGTCATTAGGCACTCACTTATTCATCTTTGAACCCCACATATCCACTACTTGCATATCGGTGTGTGCCTTCGAGTACAAGCTGTGCACTCATCACCGTGACTCCTTGTTATATGTGAGCTGAGTGGGCTCACATCTGCAGTAGGATGCGTCCTTCTTCTATCAAATGCATGGGAAATAGACTGTAGGTAGCGATACCCAGGAACCGCCTCCATACTCCGCTCGCGTGCTGCACGGATAGCAACAGGTCTAACCATAGCCACACTGATACTTGTCTGGCATTTCGCTTCTGATTTTTCTCTACCGGTGAGTCTTCGCTGGAGATCTTGGTATGGCAACTGCTGCAGCTTGAGGACAGCGCAGACTGGTACAGAGACGCCATCCGGGTGTAAATACCCTCCCGTAACTTTCCCTGGCGCTTTTAAGCAGACACAGCTACTGCAGCTGTGGAGAAGTTTTCTCGCACATGGAGAAGACCGCTCTCAGAGCCAATTGTATTTAAGAGCACAGTTAGTCTTGAAGGTGCGTCTCTCGTTCAAAAACGGTGAGTTATGCGGCTCAAATACTAACGGCTGGGTGGTGATTGGGACACTCGTAGCTTTTTCCCCTTTCTCAACTCATATACACCATTCGAAATAGAGAAGGTAGCGGAGCCACCGTACCACCACGAAGCCTTAAGAAATGAAGGCGCTACTGTGGTAGTGGGCAGGATCGTGCCTCGCCACGAGCTGGTTGCGCTTTTCTCGTTTATTTCCGAGCTGCGAAAATAGTGCATTCTCCAGACCTGCGGACATGGCTATCGTGTCCGAAGTGGGCGATATGAACGCAAAGCGTGCCTTGAGCGTAGCTTGAATTCAGATATCTCTGCGATAGGTTCCTGAGCAGAATACGCTATGATAATCTTGTGAGAGTGGGAAATTCTTCTAATTGATCTCAGTAGCGCATAGGAACGTGGCTACGTGAAAAGCACCTTCCTTTTGATTTCGATAATTTTAGCTGGATCTGTTGCGTACGCTACGCACGAAGTTGGAACTGGAAGCGATCTCTTCAATAGCACCTCAGTACATTACTCGTGTATACCTCATGTCTCGCTTAGCTACACCATCTACACCCAGGTTCCAAATGATCTTACCCCCTTCTGAAACGCGGGGTGAGGAACACAGTAATGACGTGTATCGAGACTGCGTTGAGACGTAGGATACGTTTGCCATTCCATCTCTTATCGCTGAAGTAATAATTTCGTTCTAGAGAGCTATGAGTGTCGCTGTTTTCCCCACTTTTTAATGGAGCCCTGGGCATAGCTCCCTCCCCCCGTGCCCTCCTTCCCCCATCGTAATTTCCACAACGACGACGCCTCCTACATCCAAGGCATCGCTCGCGGAGCTAGTACTCTTAGCTGGTTGACTCGACAGAGCATTTCGACGTTGAATCAATTGTGTCATGACAGCCTGCTCCTTTATACCAATTATCTTTCGGCACTATTCAACTATTACTACCCCAGTTTTGCGAAAACAGGCCGGATCTTGATCGACTTTTTTCTACGGGGGCGGATTTGGCTGAAAGTTGGGTTCTAGGGGTAATTCGACCTCCTGAACACGAATATCACATCCACTTGGCCTGAAATTGCCTGGCGCCCGCGCCATAGGCGCCAGTGATTTGGGGCATTTTGGCGCCGGCGCCCGTAGCGCGGACGCGGAGCGGTTTCAAGCCGAGGGAATGTGATATTCGTGATTAGGAGGTCAAACTACCCCTAGGTACAAGTTTTCAGCGGATTTCGTGATCTAGGGTACTTTGGCGCCGGCGCCTGTGGCGCGGGCGCCAGGCGGTTTCGAGAGGAGCGGATGTGATATTCGTGTTCAGGTCGAATTACCCCTAGAACCCAACTTTCAGCCAAATCCACCCCCGTAGAAAAAAGTCGATCAAAATCCGGCCCGTTTCCGGAAATCTGGGGTAGTAATAGTTGAATAGTGCCTCTTTCTACCCCAGTTCAATGTATGTCGTGAAACATTTGAGTTGACGGCAAAGTTCTGCGTTGAGTGTAACTAGGGATGCTGGCTTCAGCAATACCGTGCCTCTGATGTCTTGAAATGGGCTGTGTTCTGTAAATAGCCGGTGCATTTCCTTTCTTTTACGTCACGTCGTCTGACGTGATCTTGTGGTTGTCTAGCTAGCTTTGTTTAGTGTGATCAAGGGGTTTTGAACCGTTACTCGCTCCAAGCCTCATTTTGTTTGTGAATCACAGTTTTTTGTTCAGTGCCTTAGATGGCTTTCAAATACATTCCCATTTATAAATTGCCTCTATGCCAGCTCCCATATGCCTTTGTAATACCAGTGGGGACCATTCCCTATTCCTGGAACCCCGTCAACTATTTCGTCCCTTCTCATCGCTGGTATGCAGAGATCTCGAAATGTCATTTGCATTAGCAATTATATGTATTATTGTAGTTTGAGGCTGATAAAGGATTATATGACGAAAACTGGCCAATAAAAGTGTTAAACCAGTTTGAGACCTTAAACATTTTTCAACAAACACATTACTCAGCATTACACCGGATGAAGCTCGACTGCGTTCATACTTTGCGTCAGGGTACGCTAGACTGATGCCTGTGTTCTAATCGCTACTGTGCGCTGACTCAAAGTATGAACACTATCGCAGAGGTAGCAGTATCTTATCATGTACAAGTTGTTCATAATCACTGTGATAAAAAGTGCGCAAAGAAGTAATTATGGTTACTTGAAAAGTATTAGTATTACTTCAGCATGGTCACGATGCTATTTTTCTTCACTTTCGACTTTTTCTTCAGAACTCTTCTCTAGGCTTATTCATCGCCAGTTTGGAAAGACACGTTCGGTCAATGGTCTGGTTATTTTCAGAACCATTCACTCAGGTTGGTGCAAGCTGCCAAATGGTTTTACATCGACTAGTTAACCTACTTCAGGCGCTATGCTAACGGGACGCAGGCTCAACAAAGCAAACTTACTGCAGCTGCACTCACTGGAAATTCTATGCTGATTATCAGAAATAATCTTGACCGAATTGAAGTGCTATATGTTCTGATGTGGTCGCAGAAGGTACGCGTCTAAATATTAGGTTGGACGGAATGTCCTGCGACACTTTGATTGAATTGTTCTAGAAAAAGACCAAAAAACATTTCGAATGTTTTCATCCCTGATTAGTGGAGCAATTTTCAAAGCTTAAAAGCCCTCAGAGATCGAGGTACTTTTCGACCTGTCCCATATTATGAGTTCCTGTAGGGCCACTCGCCGTAGTCGAGGAAGCTAACACCTACGTTGTCTTGAGGAAGGATATCGCTTGCCATGGCAGAGGGTAGCTTTTGCATCAGCGCTTCCAAGCTGGACTTATTTAATTCGGAGTAGGCAATGTATAGGTCGGCCACCAGCACAGAATGACGGCCCTTTACTCAAGCTTCTTGAGGCGCAGCCGAACGTAACCACCAGTAAGTTGGCAACCTCTCTAGGCTCCACCTAACTGACAACTGCCATGCTTCTCCGCAATCTCGGTTATCGGAAAAATTTTTTGTGAAGGATGCCTCATGAGTTGGACCAGTCTGACGAAGCGCACCGGATAGCCGTGACTGAGCTTTTTTTCCTTGTACACACTGGAAGAACATTTGTGAGATCTTGTGGTTGGTAGCGAGTGTGGAGTCCTTGCGTACATCATGCACATGTTCCTCGCAGGATCTCTCAAGGAGAAAAGTAGATTGCTTAGCCAAAAGCAGATGTGCATGGGATAAAGATTTCAGTGTGTTATTGGTGGGACTTCAAAGCGGTATCGCTGGATACTAGCACAGCTGTAAGGACCACAGTCCACCCTAATCTTCAAAACATGGATGACGTCACGCTTGAATTCATTCAGAAATACTCAATTTTTCTCTACTACTCGGCAATGCGAAGACCGCATGTGGGGATCAGGCTACGCCAAAAGATCATGGATTTCGATCAGAGAATGCGACCGTACCCAGGTTATTTACAAAGTTAGCAGCCTCTAATTACCACCTCCTTTGATCCCTATCGCATCCTTAGAAAGCAAAAATTCCGAAAATCGACGTCTACTCGAAAATGAGGTCCACCTCTTCTTTTTATCATAGTTGCCGTAGTTCTATGAGAATGGAAATGAGAAGCTGTGCAAAAGAATGGGCACTAGTCCTAGTCATCAACTATGGTTACCTTGTAGATTGTAGATTGGGTGTCTTTCAGTAAAGGAAAATGTGGTCCAAAAATTTGGTCAAAGTGTCGCAGGACTTTCCGTCCAACCGAATACAATCAATAGAAAGGTGGGCTTTGAGCTCAACCGCCTACCTCCAAATTAGGGTGGAACAGCTTTTTTTCACTATAGCTGGTTAGCTGTCACCCGTCTGGAAGGTTCCGCGGTCAGATTGGTTGTATTGCACAAACCGAAGACTTCGTTTTTGATTTACCTTTCCTCCCTTTGTATCTACACGTCGCGGCGAAGATTTGCGAGCTAGCATCGTACCTCGCCGCCCTCCCTAGCCTTATCTGTTCTTTAGCAGGCCAAGGTCGTGGTGGAGGGCTCGCTCACAGGCTGCGTGCCTGGTCGCGCAATTTTCTCAATTCTCACCTGCTCAGCCTTATTTGCGGTAAGCACGGTTGAGTCTATAGGTTTGTGATGTCGGTGTTACAGTAACAACTCCTTGTCTATCCTTAGTGCTAACCTTGTTCCCTAGTATATAAAACTGATGTGCCTAGAATTATGCAAGATGGTGAAGCACATTTAGCTTTTCGCATTTTGACTACGAACGGAGGGGGTTTATCGAATAGATATGGGTGTCTGTTCGTTTTATTCACACAACACACCGAAGTCCACTTCGCGCACTTCGTTCGTCGGTAGCGTTGACCTACTTTGCTGTAATTGCTCTTCCGTGATATCGCTGCACCCAAATGGGGCTTCCGGATTATTAGAGTTATGTGTTCCTTCAATGTTTAGCTTGCTGTTCTCCATACTATCGCATTATCACAAAGAGACTTTATACTTCAAATTATTGCTAGGTTAATCTGCGCCATAACGACCGATTCATCTTTCATGTGATTGTCTCGTATTCAGTCCTTGTACCGATCTAATCTGACGGTGATCTCGTTCCATTTATGTCCAGTTACGTGCTAATTGGCTCCTTCTTCCCATAACGAGCACCATAATTCCATTAAGAACTTCGGTCGTCTCAAGAGTGACATTTTAATGTTGAACCCTTGATTTTTCTATTCTCTCACAATTAGTCAAATTCTTTTGTTCTTCCTTTTGGTGTTCAACGTTGACTTATTCGCAGCACTCATTGACACTGCCACAGACTTCGATCAGAAACGTTTGGTAATCTCACCTTGGCATGGTATGCAAACCAATGTCTTCATCACCATGCCAAAAATACATGATCTTTGTTCAAGAGCAAAACCCACCATTTCATGGTCATTTGGTTTTATTGCTACTTTATCTGAAGGCGATGTTTTTCTCAACTCTCGCGGGGTGAAAAGGACCACGACTGTTGAACAAGATATTTGAGGTTGTCTGCGGTGTGCAAGAGAAATCGCATAGATGAAGAAGGTTAGGAAGGAGACTGAAACCATTCAAGCCTAGACTCTTTGAAAATAATTGTCGTTATCCCATTCGAGGGTGCTGGTTTCTGGGCAGGAATACCGAACAGGAACCGATGGTGAGGCGAAGCGCCAATTCATTTCCTTTCCACCGGCTTCCTCTTCAGAATTTAGGCCCGCGCTAGGAGCGCCGCCTTCATAAGAGTGTTTTGGTATCGGTGCCAGTAGTCCAATAGGCGTTCCCCTGCAAGACACATGTGAGATACGCAAGGTGGTTTCACCGCAAGACGATGTTTAGACCAAGTAAGCTCCCGTGGACAGATTACAGATTTTTATGGATATCCAGCTCAAATTAGGAGTGGATTCATAAAGTCACCCTAACATCTCTCCAAAAGGAATAAAAGGATAACGTTTTCGCCGTTGCTCAATCTCTTTAGGGGATGCGGCACAATATCTATTTCCATTCAGAATCGTACTAGAGATGTTGTCTATACAATGACTTACGGGGGCCACCGATGATGACCATTCGTCGGTGTTTTTATTCTCTCAGACAAATCTGGTACCAATTTACCGTCCCCGGACGGTAGAAGGCTTGTTAGCCTTGGCGGGAGTCGGTCTAAGACTTGATGCCCGGAACGTGCGCGTGCTATGCTCGCCCCTTCCCACTACACAACCGCCTCTAGAGGGAAACATAACTTATTTCTACTGCTTATGGTTTTCTCTCCGAGTTCTCGAACTCATATGCAAGTCTCGCTAACATT